TTAGGTTAACTTAGAATTTTATTTCTTTTTATTTTATTTCATAAAAACATAAAAACACAAAAATATACTTTCTTTTAATTAAATTAATTAATTAGTCATTAGTTAGTTTTAATTTCATTTTAATTACAAAAAGACCAAAAAAAATTCAATTTCTTTTCTTAAAAGGGTCAACACCCTTAGAACATTTCCGATTTAATTTTTATTCGCGCATAGTTTATTATTATGTAATTGCTTCCAAGACATGTAATAGTTAATTAGGTTTACTGCTTTATTTTAATTTCTCATACTTATTTACCAAAAACGGGTCTTTGTATTTTTGGCGATGTATAGACCCGCGCCTTGTAATAGCGTAGGATTTATGTTTCCGCAATTTACTTTTCGCACCCCCTTAACTGCTAAACTTGCATGAAAGAATGTATGGTTAATAAAAACAACTCGTAGCTCACAAATAACATGTACAAACATTAACTGAATACAACACACAAAACACATGCCACTCCTAGGGTACGCCTCACTCGTTGCCTTCGAAATGTGGTCATCAAGTATAGGACGTCTTAGAGGTCACCCTTTGTCTAAAGATCCAGTTGCCTCGAAACAGTTGCCTCGAAATGGTTGCCTCGGATTAAAAAGGATCTAGGACATTAGAGTTACTTCTAAGGTGTCCTAATTGTTGCTTCGGTGACCACACTGTCCCTAAAATCGAATTGACCCGAACACCTCCAACGATGGTGCTACCTACCTCTCAATGGTGGGATAACACTATCTAAAGGACTCTTACACAGCTTAATTCCTTAGAGTAGGTAGATTTCTCTTAAGTACTTGCTCTTCTCAAAACAAACAAAAATACTTTTCACACTTCACACTTTCTAAAAGTTTTCAAACAAATTTTTCATACACTCTTGAGGACAGATACAAGAGTTACTTAGAAATTTTTCAAACGAAACTTTTTCAAAACCCACAGACACTTGAAAAGCAAACAAATCTTTTGAAAACATAAGAGCAAGTACCTAAGAGCCCGTGGATAACCACAGATAGAAAGGGTGCTAACACCTTCCCTTTTTATAAATCTACCTCCCAAACCGAGAAACATTCTCGAATAAGGAATTTTGTTGTGCTTTTGTCCTTTCCATGTTGGAGAACATAAAAGACGGTGGCGACTCTTGCTTACCGTGACATTTCGCGAAACCAGCTAAAAACAGTCAGTTCTATTCCCACCGATCACAGTCCCACCATAGAGTTTTTCTTGTTATGATCTTTTTCTGACACGGTTAAGTGTTTGCACCCAAAATCAGGCGCTCTAATACCAATTGAAGAATGGAAAAATATAAGAAGGGAGATTTGAATTGGGGTTTTCAAAATTAAGACAATATACACGTTGATTATCCTGGTTCATTTGAACTCAAACTAATCCAGTCCACCCGCCAAGGTGATTTCGCCTCTCTCAAACGAGGTCTTAATCCACTAATCAAAACTTGATTACACAGATATAATGACTACTGTCAATGTCTTCTTGAGTTTAAACCACAACTCAACTTTCTCAAGGTATTACATAATAAATCAAATAAGATTTTGTATAATGATGTTTCTAAACAAAGCTATATCACAACAGTGATGTATACACAATTGTAAAGTACAAGTTAGAACTGGTAACATTATTTCTCTTTTCAGTGTACAGTGGTGTTGTATGTTTTCTTCTCCAAGTCTTATTTATATAGGTGGACATAAGGGACGAGAGAAGTTGTTTTTGGAAGGTTGATAAAATGTTGTTAATGAACTTTCCAAAAATATAGATCTTATCTTGGTTCAACTGTTACTTTTTTTGATTTGTAATGAATGTCTTCTAACAGATCAGAACATTGCTTCATTGGGATCTTATTAGAATAAAAATATTACCGTTGAGACTTTAGATCGTCAGAGTTTCTTGATATTCATTAGAATTTGGATGATACGTTGAAGCTTCTTTTGCATTTCAGAGTATTTACTATCAGAGTGTAGCTTAAGTGCTAAATTTTTAGAACAGTTGAATAGATGAGTGCGTTGAGACTTATTTTTTTCTTCCAGAACTTTACTTATCAGAATGTCAGAGCTTTTGCTTGCAGCATTGGTGCTTCAGAAGTTGTAACATCAGAACTTCTTCTATTTAGTGTGTTACACATATTTGCTTCTAAATATGTTGTGTCTTAAATAGAGCTTTAAAACGTAAATCCGTCATCATCTTCTATGCTTCTTTTATCATAATTACTCTGCATATTTAAGTACATAATTAGATAGCATATTTTTTCTTTATATATATCATGTATTTGTTATCATCAAAACTATTATAAAGATGTAGAACCAAACTATGTTCTAACAGATCCTTCCAAACATCTATTTTCTGTTTACAAAATCATAAACGTGAGTACAATAATAGCTTCTTGGCGATAGTAAAAGAGGATTATTGACCTATATATCAAAGAGATATAGTTTGACATAATGAAAATATGCAAAGAAACAAAAGTAGTCATCATATATTTATGTTGTTAGAGTCTCGTGTTGTTTAGGTTTTCAAACAATTAGTTCTAAAAATGTATTTGAACAACTGCATCCTTTAAAATTAACTTTTAAAAATTGGAGTCAAGTTAAAAACTGAATGTAGTATCAGATTAAAGGTTAAATAATATAATGTGAGTATGAGTATTAAAATTTTATTCGTTGAAGTTGAAGTTGTGTTAGAGTCTCAAATTACTTTTGGTTTTTGAACTCTATAACATATTAAAATCCAATAAAAACTATGTAAAAAAAGAGAAAGAACGATGAGCTGTATATTGATTGTATTTAAAACTTGTACAAGAAGTACTAATATCTATATTATGGGTGGTAAAATGGGTTGTCTTTCCTACTTCGTCTATTTCATCTTAATAAGTATGTTAAAAAAATAGTATGACAGATAAGTCTCTCAAATGAAAATTAACATAAAAATCTAATTTGTTCCGTTAAGATAATGGATTAGCAGACTTATCCACTTACTTTTTTATTTATTTATTTTTCATTTTTTTAATATATTAAAAAAATTACATTTTAATTAGATTTTTCATTTATCTTTTAAACAAATTATTTTATAAAATATTTTTTTAACAAAATTTACTTAAAAAAATATTACATATATTCATAAATAAATGTATAAAATAAAATCATCAAAAATTATACATATTAAAATTAACTAAAAAATAACACATTTAAGGTGGAATAAATTAAATGAATAAGCGCGGCGGGCCACGGTAAACGTATGTTTTGATGGAGAGGATTTTGACGGACGGTGATCTTTAATGGGACGGACTTTAATGAGGCGATAGATTCAAAATCTCAACTCAACCCACTATTATTTGATAAATGTGCAGATTGACCCAACAGACTACAATCCATTTTACCACTCATAATTTATATAATACAAAATGTGTAATTAGCCACTATATACACATGTATTAACTTCACAAATTGATCTTATGAAAACAGGGATCACACATTTATTGGAGTACCTTCTCCTTTCATTCTTAAATTGTACTGGTAACAATTTAGCTACCAAGATTTTTTTTTTGTTTTTAATAGCCAATAACTTCCCCTATACACTCAAGTCATTGCACCCATAAAGAAAATTCTTCCAAATCTTTTTTAATCTACATGTTAATCTTAGTTGGTTAATAAAACATATTACAATCAAATATCAATAATCCAGTTCAAACATTTCTTATCGTAAGTATTTATGAACCTGCATGTTTGGTTTAGTTTTTGAATCGATCAAAAACAATTTTAAAGGTGTATAGTTAATTTTGAATGATTTTAAGATGTTTGAGTATATAAAAGTAAAATTAATTATATCTCTAAAATTTATTTTACTTGAAATTAGAATAAATGATTTTTACTCTAAAATTTATTGTTCAACTCATTTTTATATAAATATTTGTAAATATAAATCAATTTTACTAAATTCTATTACGATAAAATCAATTTTATTAAACTCAATTCTAATAGAATTAATTATATTCACGATCAGGAGTATTCAAATTCAAACCAATCAAAATAAAAAATTGAAAACCGATCCAAAAAACCGAACACTACAAAAAAAATTGAAATTTATTAGATGTGTTTGGATGTTATTTGGTGAAAATTGATCGGTTCGGATCAGATTTCAGATTAATTTTTAAAAATCGATTCAAACCAAACCAAACTGCATACATATATTTTTATACTTATTTATTTTTTATTACTATGATATATTACGTGAAATTATTATTAGATGATAATAATTTTTTTAATAATAGTTATTAGCTTAATATAATTTATTTATTTTTATTATTTCAATCATAATCAACTACTCTCATTTTATAATATTAATTTTTAATATACTATATGTTATATATTATATCAAATCTATGATTTATTAATATTTTTATAATATTAATAAAAATATAATGAGTAATTTGGATATCCAAAAACCGATCTAAATTAAAGTACATAAAATTGGATCGGATTGGATTGAATTTTTTTAATATATTATCTGAAATCGAACCAAATCGCAAATAAATTTATTTTTAAATCGAATAATTTTTTTATTAAAATCGATTCAAATCGAACTGCGAACACCCTTATTTACTCTTAATCCAAACACAACTTTAAACAAACACGTCCTAACCAATCTGATAATCAAGATAGCATCAGAATTTACTATGGACCCCATAACATGTATTGTGCCCAAAGAAAAGAGGAACCACATACTTATAGTAGAAATCATTACGGAATCTCAAGTAACTCAAGGTCACAAAATCAAGCAAACTCATGTGCCTTCTAAATTCTAATCACCTTTGTTTCCGAAAGCAACTCATTATAATAACCTCAAAAAATGAACAAACATAGAAGGCAATTAAATTAAATCGCTATAAAAACACAAACTTAATATTCCTTTTTCAGATTTTATTGAAGCAACAACAGAAACTTGAATTTATTATTAATAATTCCAACACTAATTACTGAGCAAACACAACCCTAGCACCACCACCATCAATAGCTGCAGTATTATTCTCATCATCACGTTCAGCCTTAGGAACAGTGACGACGAGCACACCGTCGACCACCCCGGCGGTGGTGAGCTCCGGGACGACAGACTCAGGGAGACGAAACCTCCAGATATCAGGATGAAGATCATCCAACGAAAAGTGAAGTGACTGACTTGCCCTCACAACAATTCTGGTAACACCTGGATGGATATGAAGCGCGTGCGTCTCCACGTGACCGAGTGACGACTCGGTTTCCGCCATGAATCGGAAACAGTTAGGTGATTCTTCGACTGCCACGTCAGCGTCAGAGCGTAACGGAAGTTGAAGGATCCTGCTGAAGACGTGAGGGAGACGCCTAAGTTTGTTGTTGTTGTTGTTGTTGGAGAAAGCAGAGAAAAGTGTCTCTGCTTGAGACAGAGGATTCATCACCATGTCGTATTGGATGCTTATGTTCCATTTTCTACCACGCTTCATTGTTCTTCAAACAGTCTCACAATTTTATTCTCTTCTCTGTTACCCCTCTCTGCGTTATGTAACTTGATTAAATGAAAATGTATATTTGTATGGTCTAAAATCAAACTAAAATGAGTAATAAAATTTATTTATTTGATAATATCATTATTAAAAAAATAACACGTTTTTTTGATGAAAAAGTATATTTTTTTTAATATATTAAAGGTTTATATTTATTAACATATGTTTCTGTGTGTGTGCACGGATAAGAGGGAATTTAAATCAAAATGGTTATATCTTGCTATATTGACGAAGGTTTTTTTTTTCTTTTCTTTTTTTTTGCTTATTATTGTATTAAAAAATAAAAGCATGAAAGGACTTGTATGAGTTCTATTGAAATATTATTTTCCTTCCTCTTTTTGTCTTTTCCTTTTCTTAGTTTGTCTAGTTGTTTATAGTCACTTTTAGACCAATTAAAAAGTTGTTTATTTGAATATTAAAATAGTTATTTTCCTTTATTTTTCATTATAAATCTAAATTTTCTTTTTTAATTTTATCAAAGAATAGATGTACTTAGACTATTTATATATATTTTTCCCTATTTAAATTTTAAAATAGTTATTTTTCATTATAAATAAAAAATTGTTTTTTTTATTTATTAAATAATATATGTACTTAGAGTATATATAAACTAAATATATGAATTAAATAAATTTAAATTTTGATTTTGATTTTGCTTTATTTGAATATTAAAATAGTCATTTTTTCAATGTTTATTATAATTAAAAATCGGTCTTTTAAATTATTAAATAACATGTGTACTTAGACTATATAGATACTACATTCATGAGTTATTAAATAAATTTAAAATAGAATTTTACTTACAAAAGAATAGAGAGAAAATATATTTTTTATGAAACAGTGGGCTTATTTTTTAAATTTTTAAATGATTTTATTATTATATTTTTTTAACAAATTTATAAAATTATTATTTAACAAAAATATATAAAATATTTATATTAAAAAATTTAAAACTTTTTTTAGATACTTTATTCATTTTCTATGATTTTTTTAAATATAAAAAATAAATTAAATTTAAATATATTTTAAATAAACTTTTATAAAATTTAATTTTGAGATTCTATATTTTTGAAAAATAATGTGATTTTTTGAGTAAAAAGGTGGTCAAATATATAAAGCAAAAGAAATTTGCTCAGGGGTGTTTTTTATGGTGTATTTTTTCAAACCTATTAGAAAATCATTGAAAAATATATTTGTATGGTTGCCCTTTAGTTCTTCAAATACGGTTGAACTCTTACTAATTTTAATGCGAACACCATCATCCTTCTACGTAAGTCCAAGGATGCAGACTTAATGAATAAATCTATACATATAGCTTTCGGTAACTTTTTAATTTTAATGCCAACACGATCATCTGTAATATCCTAATTCTACTCAATGATTATTATAAAAATCAGAAAGATAAAATTCCGACAATCGAATCAGGATACTACACATTCAACTTAAAACAACATCACTCATTAATAGATACATAACATATTAAACTGGAATGAATCAACAACAATATAAAGTTAACCTTTTAAAACAACATTTATAATTACGTAGCGGAATCATAAAATCTGACTTAAAAAAGGTATAATATCTTAACCAACTGAAACAACTTCAAAAACAACCATTACTTAATAATATTCAACTTAAAATTCAATCAACTAAAATAATAACAATAAAACAACAAACATTCATCCCCCGAGTGTTACGTATCAGAGCAATGACACCGACTCAAACTACTGAAGGTATACCACCTTTAATCTGAGTTACCTGCACGTTACCAACATTGAGATAACATTCAAACATAATTGGTGAGATATCGAACAATATAATAGATTGCATGTTAAATAAAACAATAGGATTAGTTATACATATTCACCACTTCTCAAGTTTTAACATCATAAGCATAATCAAATCATCCGCACACGACTCAGAATGCAATACAGGATGCAACTCATCTTTATGCAAATACATGTGGTACCAATGGAGCAGAACTCCCATCTTAAAAATCTGCCAATAAATAGAGGCATCAACAAGGCATAAGCCTTCTTCGCAGTTTGTCAATCCAGGCCATCACAGAGTATGCAAATATATATGACTCATTGAATGCACTATCACATACTCACAACAATCATCATTCATCGCAAGGCATAAGCCCACATCACTATTATTACCAGTAAATAGAGGTAATTCATCGTCATCTAGAATTCCCTGCAACTTCACATTACTAACAAGAATTCACAATGACAATCACAACAATACAATAACTCACGTCAATCCACTTTGGCCATAAGCCTATCAATTCAATACCACCTGTAATTTATATTTTCCAGTCAAGTATTCAACACACCGTATCGACTGCAATATGCAACAAGTATTTCGTATAATTATTCTGACAATTCAACTATATCGGCTTAATAATTATCTGCTAAAATTACTACTTTTTCTTCTCTGTACTACTATTATCAAACCCACACGGCTACTGCTGGTTCATATTATCCCTATTATTTCATTACTCTGCTAATTTAATAAACCCGCTACTAATTTATCTCTACTGTTAATATATATATATATATATATATATATATATATATATATATATATATATATATATATATATATATATATATATATATATATATATATATATATATATATATATATATATATATATATATATATATATATATATATATATATATATATATATATATATATATATATATATATTAGTTACTAATGTCTCTGCTATTTTAATACCAACTCTGTTATTTACTAACTCTGTTCTTTTAATAAATTTGCTACTGAGACTTAATTAAATTAAAGTAGTTTTTATTATTCTTATTTTTATGAAAAGAATAAGTATATATAAATATACTACCCTTAAATAATAGAAAGTCATGCCCCTCAGCACATTTTGTTCCTCTAGGCGCACATCTGTGCCACTCGTCATAACATGGTGTGCCTAACGACACACTTCTCCCCTCTCTCACCATGTGCCGCTCAACACATTCACACACAAATAGGGTGCCGCTCGACATCCTTTCCCTGTCAAGCGCCACTTTTCGAGTGCCTCTTGGCACACTTCTTCTAGTACCCGTTTCTTATGTAATTTTCCAGAAAATTCTTAATATCAGTCTCATATACCAACACTTTAAGTACTACGACATCAATTTTCACAGAGACAATTTACACCGAAACAACAATCCAAATACATGAAATTAACAGCAATGTTTTCAACACAGTTAACAGATTTTGACAGCAATATTTCTGTTTATACAACCCAATTCCACGTATCATTTATCAAACAACTCGTTATAGAGTCAGAATCCCACTCTTGCCTTGGATTGGAGATCACTCTATACTACCGGTTAAAGTCTCTTGCCAAAGCTTCCAACCTTTGTCTCTTCTCCTCTTTTCTCTGCAACTTTCACGTTCCCACAAAATACTCAAGACTTTTTCCCTTATTCTTTCTAATTAACCTAATCCTCATAATTGGCTTAATCTTATAATTATTAATATTCTTATTGGGCCTAAATTTCACATCCCCACCTATTACTCCATACAACCAAATAATGAGCCCAACTAATAAACCTTATAATATTCTAATATCTATATTAATATTATTGCTAATATTAATCAACCAATCAATTAAATATCAACCAAATAACAACTTAGCAACTTAAATCAACATTTCTCGATATTTCCCAACTTCAACAATATCAACAACATTTTCAACCATTAATCCGTAACTAATTTAATTAAATAATTAATTAAATTAACGGGTGTTACAACTCTCCTCCACTTAAAATATTTTCGTCCTCGAAAATCTATTCAATACTACCACTCCTAGTACGAGTTTCGCATCCAACTCGTTGATTTCCAAGTCGCGTTTGGCAACACTTCAGCCACTACTTTCCTGATAACTCAATAACTCAACACGATTCAAATCGATTACACACGTGCCAATCATTCAACAGTTTGTGACACAATCGTTACTAGCATTTCAACTAGTTAACCATAATCTGACATATCCACAATTAAATTAGCAACAACTATAACCCACTTATACTTAGATATACATCACCACAATATCATCTTAACACCCTTTTCAACACCAAAACACATACACAATTTCATTCCCGTACGTCAATTATCAACAAAATATCAACAACTTTACTCATATTGTCGTATCACTCTTATAGTTACATCAACACAACCAACAAAATCAACTTCGTCACGTTATGGAGCATCATTCCTTACTTATGGAAATCAACAATAACATCTCAATAAGGATAACAAAATCATCATAACATCAACTTAACTGCATAACTCAGCAAGCATACCCACAGTTCACCATCAACCAGCAGTCCACAACCATCTTCTTATAAAATACGCAAATATTTACTAGCAAACATAGTGCCCTGGCACAACATCTCTATATCAATAATCCACCAAATCAAGCATGTAGATTGAGACACACCATTCCCATAGGCTTCTGATGTTTTAATCCTTCACTTCTAACGAGTTGTACACGCGTAGCAATTGCGTCACATCACGCTTTAGCTGCACAACTCTGATAATCCACCTTAGGTCACCGTCCTCGTTAAAATTTCGGTCAAATATATTGTTTACAAGTTTCAATCTAGTTTTGGACTTTCTCAATACCCATCATAAAACCATTGTTCACTTGATATTCTCAATCTTTCACTTTGCGACGTTAATTCACATATAACTCGCTACTCCGACTTGTTCCATGCGTCTCAACTCTTTCCTAGTCACTCCTCTATTAATTCACACAAACTGGCGAGCGACTATCCTCACGATATAACATCAATCACTTTACATACCATTAAGATAGCACGACAAATCTATATCATCCAACATGATCTCGTCTACTATCAACAAGAGATTAAGGGTGATCAGTTCCTCAATTTGTCAATAGATAAGTG